CAGATTTCTGGTATCTTTCCAGGCCTCTCTTGGGGTCAGTAATTTTAACCACCCGGTCTGGGAAGATGGAGAAGGTCGGGCAGATCTCACTGGAAGAAGGCTTTCTACCAGGTATCAAGGTCCCAAACTCATAGAGTAGAATGAGCCAAATTTTTATTTATTTATTTATTTGTTTGTTTGTTTGTTTGTTTGTTTGTTTGTTTGTTTATATCCCGCCCATCTGGTCTGGTCGACCACTCTGGGTGGCTTACAATAAACCATAAGACACATGCAATAATAGAACAAAAAATAAATGAGAAGAAAAAAAGAAATTTAAGTATTGACAGGAGGGAAGGCCTGAACGTACAACCATGTCTTTAGCTGACTTTTAAAAGTGCCCAGCGTAGGGGCCGCACGAATCGCCGGAGGAAGGTTATTCCAGAGGCGAGGAGCCACCGCCGAGAAGGCCCAGTTTCATGTCCTTTCCTTCCGGACCTCCCTTGGCATAAGGCTCCTCAGCCTCACCTCCTGGCTCATGCGGGTGATCCGGGTAGATTTAGGTGGGAGCAGGCGTTCCACCAAGTATCGAGGCCCTAAACCGTTTAGGGCCTAATATGTAAGCATTAACACTTTGAAGTCAATGCGGAAACGGATGGGCAGCCAGTGCAGCATGGCCAGAGTAGGAGAAATATGATGGTACTTTCTCACTCCAGTAAGGAGTCTGGCCGCTGCGTTCTGCACCACCTGAAGTTTCCGCATCAGCTTCAAAGGAAGCCCCACGTAGAGCACGTTACAGTGATCTAATCTAGAGATTACGAGCGCATGTACTAAGGTGGTGAACGCCCCCGTGTCGAGGTAAGGTCGCAGCCGGGCAATCCGCCAAAGGTGAAAAAAGGCAGTGCGGACTACCGACGCCTTCTGCCACTTAAAGAGAAATTAAAAGTTCAGTTGTAGCTGAGAATTCAAAGGGGGGGGGAGAAAATAAAAAATACAAGAAAGAATTCCTGTAGTGAGCAAATTGAACTCAATGGCCTTAATTAGGAGTTTTAACTCTGTTGCTCTATCACTGTATGATTAGTCAAAAATTGAATTGCCACTGACATTCAGCAAGTCAAATACAGGCTCCCAAACTCACTGTTCAGCGAAGTTCCTCCATAGCGCCGCCATTTTCGCGCCCTCGGTAAGCGAGGGAAGGGCACGAAAACACTTGCGGCGGCCATTTTGGGCACCCAGCTGCCATTTTGGAACCACCAATCAGCTGTTTAAAAAAACATCGCAATGCGAAGATCGGTAAGCGAAACGCTTACCGATCATCGCAATGCGATGTTTTGCCTATTCAGAGCATCGCAATGCGATCGCATTTGCGATCTAAAAAAATAGATCGCTATGCGGATTCGTCGTTAAACGGTGTGCTCGTTAAGCGAGGCACCACTGTATCTAGCTATTAATAATCTAGCACTTGTCATAAAATTAGAAATCAATTCTTTTGAGTAATAATCAAGTTCCATCTTTTCAAAAATCGACAGAAAAGTACAGTACTGGAGCTCAAGGTTCTATGCTAGCTTTTAGAGACAGCTTACAGGTATTAGGTAGCAAACCACCACCATCTGTCTGGAAAAACCACCTTTCAGAGAAATCTCCTAAGCCAGTATGGTGGAGGGATTCGGTGACGTAGAATCCCAAAAAGAAGTAAATTTCCCTGGCTGTTTTATGAGGTAAAAAAAATGCAGTTGTGAGGTGCATCACTTTCACCTTTGTCCAACCAGGAATGAGTAAAACAAGGCCAACGACAGTCTTCTCAAAGACCATAATAAGCAAATAGAAGAGACACTGGCCAATCCAAGCGGCTGCTTGTGGAGGGTCACCTGGAAGAGAGGAATAGCAGAAATCAATATAACTTTCAGGAATCCAGGGATTTATTCGTTCAGGTGTTTAATCGGAGAACCAAATTTATACAGAGCCGCAGCCCACACCAGCACGCTCTCAATACAAACCATGAATACATGAACTTGGTGTCTGTATATTTTGGAAAGTACAAACAATTTGCCCTTTCGGTGGCTCTGCTAGAATATCTTGTCTCAGGGTTGTATAAAAAGGATTGCAACCTACAGTAGGTATTTCAGCAGACCAGAAATAGAAGCAATGCTTATTTCAAAAATCTAATTTTATAAAACCCCAAAGGAGTTGAATGTTAGAAGGTTATCCGATGAACGCAACAGGGTTCACCAAATTCTCATCATCCAGTACTAACAGGAGCAAGATCACAATGAGGGAAATGCAAACATTCGAGTCACCGAATTATGGAGTTGGAAGGGGCCTCTAAGGCCGCGGAATCCAACCCCCTGCTCAAAGCAGGAATCCAAATCAAAAGAGATCTGACAGAGGGTTGTCCCATTTTCTTTTGAGTGCCTTCAGTGCTGGAGCGCTCACCACCTCCCAAGGTAATGGGTTTCATTGTCGTACTGCTCCAACAGTTAGGAAGTTTTTTCTGATACAGTATTTAGTCAAAATCTGGCTTCCTGTCGCTTGAGCCCATTGTTATGTGTCCAGCATTCTGGGATGATCAAGAACAGATTCTGCCCCTCCTCTGTAGGATTACCTTTCAAGTACAGTGGTGCCCCGCATAGCGAGGGTAATCCGTTCCGGATTAACCTTCGCTATGGGAAAACATCGTAAAACGGATCCAAAAAACCCATTGGAACTCATTAAACAAAGTTTAATGCATTCCAAATGGGCCCAAAACTCACCGTTCTCCGATGTTTTCCCTTGTTCCGGCAGCCATCTTGGGTGTACCGGCAGCCATTTTGAGCGTCCCAGTGGCCATTTTGGGTGTACCGGCACACATTTCTTGTGTTCTGGCAGCCATCTTGGGTGTACCGACGGCCATGTTTTGTGTTCTGGTGGCCATCTTGGTTGTACCAGCGGCAATTTTGAGAGTCCCAGCTGCCATCTTGGGTGTACCGGCACCCATTTTTTGTGTTCCCATGCCATTTTGGAACCGCTGAACAGCTGTTCCCCCATCCTAATGCGAGCATGCCCTCGCATTAGCGATGGGGAAATCCGCATCGCAATGCGGATTCATCGTTCAACGGTGCACTCGTTATACGAGGCACCACTGTATTTGAAAAGTGCTTTCATATCTCTCCTAAGTCTTGTTTGAAGGCCAAATGGAATGGTGTAGTTACCCTGACCATTCCTGTTCAAATTTGGAACCCTGCCTTCAGCCCTTAAAAGTGTTTTTCAATACTATGTTGTTTCTTCAAGAAAAAAGTTTCCCATACAGCATATCATTTCGCCTCTAGTTCTGGGTACTCTCTTACCCGGTGCCTTTAAGAACAACATATACATGCATGTCTGTATGTGCAGAGATGTGCATGTGATAGCTAGAAGAACCTTTCTCATGCCTTGAAACAAGCTTGTCAACACTGTGTGTGCGCGCGCGCGCACACGCACACGCACACGCACACACACACACACACACACACACAGGTTTCTAACACAGAATGGTCTCAGCTGCAAGTACCAATATTCTTGAGTGATGTCCAGTTGCTTAAGACTATATGAGCTTCTATGTGGGCTAAAAGTGATAGTCACCTTCCCTAGGTTGGACCCCATTCCAAATCTATTAAGTAGCCGAGGAGCGCCACATGTCTGAGGATATGAAATGCGATAAGGGTGATAGTGTTGCTGTTATCCCATAGTGATTGTGACACCAGATCCCCAAAACCGTTGCTTATAAATTAGGAAAGATCATCCAGGACAAGACTCAAGGAATTAGTAAGCAACAATAGAAAGGCATTATTTATTAACTTGGTCAGCAGAGTATTATGAACTCATCTCTCATGGAGTCAAAATCGTCAACCGTGTTTAAAAAGCCTACATCCAGATGTTCTCTTCCGGGGATACTAAGATGGTTTTTAACACTTCCAAAAATTACATAAGCAGGCTCAGAAACAATCCAACAATTTGCTTAGGCTAAGCTTCTGCCTACACAGCAAATGCTGGAGACTCGGGATGAATCGATAGTCTAAGAGGACAGTAGAAGTGTTGAGAGCTGCCTAAGTTGAGGTCGATTCCAATTGTTTACAGAGTCCCAGGAGAACATCGGCAGATGCTCCTTCTTCCATTTTGTTGCACTCAGAAAACTCTGGATTTCATCAATATATGGTATCAATACCTGTAGACAGTACCAAAGATTCTTGCTGCCAACACACATGGAATAGGAGAGCTTTGACCATATTGGCTAGGCAAATCTAGAAGTTGTTGTCGAGTCGTGTCTGACTCTTTGTGACCCCATGGACCAGAGCAGACCAGGCCCTCCTGTCTTCCACTGCCTCCCAGAGTTGGGTCAAATTCATGTTGGTCGCTTTGATGACTCTGTCCATCCATCTCGTCCTCTGTCGTCCCCTTTTCCTCTTGCCCTCACATTTTCCCAACATCAGGGTCTTTTCCAGGGAATCTTCTCTTCTCATGAGATGGCCAAAGGATTGGAGCGTCAGCTTCAGGATCTATCCTTCCAGTGAGCACTCAGGGTGGATTTCCTTCAAAATGGATAGGTTTGTTCTCTCTGCAGTCCAGGGTACTCTCAAGAGTCTATGAGTAGTAGTCCAATAAAGCTAATTTTCTCCAGTAAGTGAGAGGTCCATCAACAGTCTATTGTGGTGGTTGTTGTTCTATACCGTCAAGTCAGAACCGATTTATAGCTGCCCTATTTGGGCTTTCCTGGTAAATGAGATATTTAACAACCGGTTTTACCAGTTCCCCCCTGTGAGCTTTCATGGCCAAGAGGGGATTTGAACTCTAGTCTCCAGAGCCCTAATCCATCACTCTATCCAATATCTCATACTGGGCTCCAGCCAACAGCTAAGCCTTTAACATCATTTGGGAAACAGCGGAAGGCTAGGGAAGGCCAGAACTTCCAACTGACTGGAAATGAGCCAAAGACCATTTTTCACAACCCAAGGTTGCAAAAATGACAATAGCAGTGCATCACTTTATCCTGCCCAAACAATTTATACCTTGCACAAAACGCCATCTAAACTCGTTGCCTGAGGCCGAGAGACAGAACAGATGGATTGTTTCCCCTCTGAGCTGGAACTCCTTCACTCTTCCTTGTATCCATAATTTACTTCCAGCTGGCATGCAATGACCCATGGAGAGTTGGGGGGGGAGGGAGCTAACAGGAAAACACAATGAAAATAAAACCCACAACAAAACCACAGCAGCCTTTAAAGGTTTCCCAGCTGCATAAACGCCACTAAATATTTCCAGATGGAGCTGGAAGGCTGGATGGCAATTACACGCTTCTTAAAAAAACATAACTACTCGCTTGCTACCGCCAGGTGGGTCTCTACCACCAAGTACCTCTAAGATACGGAGGGGTATTCCAAGCTATCTCTCACTGCCTCTGGACATATGCAGCCAAAAGGACCGATTTTGCCCCTCTCAAAACAGCCCAGGAACTCGGAGGTCGGCGTCAGTGAAAACATTAGGGCAAAAAGCAGACTCCGAGTCTCCGAGGATCAGACTGTGAAAAGAAGACAATAAAGGATGCACAGATCAGAGGCATCAACAAGAATCTAACCAAAAGTTTTCCTGGCTTGTGAGCGGGAGAGAGAGAAAGAAAAAAGCTTACAAATTGAGTGTTTGTGAGAGAATACCAAGGGCAGGTCCCGAAGAACTAAGCAACCGTGAAGTAAATAAATAAATAAAGTCCCAAAGGCCAAGCAAGCTTTTAGATTTTTGTGTTTTCTTAAGCTCACTCTCCAGCCTCACCGCTAGGCAGAAATCTGTTTTTCCAACTGCTAGGGTCTCCCTCCACAGAGCTTGTGATACAAGAGGAAACCGTGGGGAGAGAGAAGAAAATCTCACAGGGCTCACAGTTTTCACATTTGCTGAAAGAAAGAACTTGAGAGAACGCAGGACATTAATCATCCTGAATTCCTGCTTTTTTTTGCTTTTTTTGGTTGCAAGGAAGGAAAGGAGCGAATACATGTGATATCACATGGAATGTGAGCTTAGATCTCCTTGGTTCTAGGAGAGAGTCAGAGCTGGGGGTCCTTTATGCAGAAAAATGGGTTTAAACCCTAACCCCAGCATACCTGAAATCTATGCAGCCAAAGCAAGTCTGCATCACCCATCAGCGATATGTTGCTCTTTTTTGTAAGATATCACATAGGTAAAGGTTCCCCTTGACATTTAGTCTGGTCGTGTCTGACTCTAGGGCACAGTGCTCATCCCAGTTTCCAAACCATAGAGCCAACATTTGTCTGAAGACAGTTTCCGTGGTCAAGTGGCCAGCACGACTTAGACACAGAACGCCGTGACCTTCCCACCGAAGTGATACCTATTTATCTACTTGCATTTTTACATGCTTTTGAACGGCTAGGTTGGCAGGAGCTGGGACAAGCGACGAGAGCTCACTCCATCGTGTGGATTCGATCTTACGATGGCTGGTCTTCTGACCTTGCAGCACAGAGGCTTCTGCGGTTCAACCCGCAGTGCCACCACGTCCCACACAGATATCACATAGGAAGCTGCAAAAGTTAGTCTGCTTCTCCATCTCTTCTGATCGACAAGACATCCGAGGATTCTCAGGGAGAACTCAGAAAATAGGATGTTTTTTGCAGTCCAACTCCTTGAATCACCCAGCCAGTACCACAAACTAACGAGTGGATTCACAGGAAGTTGTAAGTTCCAAAGTAAGTTTTCCAAAAACCTGGGCCGAAGTGAGTGGGTACAAAACTTAAGTCAAAAACAAGAGATGATGTGCTTCGCATGAGCACAATCTAACAGGTCGTTTTTAGTTGCATACCCTTATCAGGGGCTTTCCTATTAAAATTCTCTTGGTCACATATACACAAAA